TATACAATTGCGGTTCAGGTCCGAGTTGCTAACGATTTTTGGGTTGAGGAGCTGCTTGAGGCTGTGATTGGGCTAGAGAGCTAAGTTTAAAATTTTTATCTCGCACGTGCATGGAATATCCCTACAAAGTTTCAGCTTCTACATTGCCTGGTTCGCGAAATTGTTTCCCGCCAACACATTTCTTTGGGTGTCCCGTACGCGGAGTCTAGGCGCGTATGGGGAAAGATCTTAAAACGGGAGGATAACATACGGGGTAGAAGCATACATCCAAAGTCTCAGCCTCCCAGCTTTCCTGGTTGCTGAGATGAAAGTAGGTGACAAAGTGCACTCGCTTTCCCAACACACACACAGACAGCCTCTCAACAATACGCGTATTTGCTGGCTGTATCAGCGCCATATTGCTGCACAGCAAAAACGCATAAAAAGTATTTCGGTGGTGTTCGCAGTCCAGGCCGTATGCGTTTTCCCTTAGTAAATATGCGCATCGCATTAAGCTGTCTACAGAAGTAAAATACACCGATGAGTTTCATTTCCTCGAAACTATTTAGTGCTCTGAAATTTATACTTGTGAGCCGGAATGAATAAAAGCTGGCTGTGCATGCGTAATACAAATTCATGATGATAAAGCATACAGCTCGGATGACTGCTGGCGATGTGATACGGCTGTGCGGTGATCTCCGGATGCAGCTCCAGGACGTAGTCCTTGTAGTGTTCACTGGACAGTGTTATATTCAGCTTGTCGCGACAGATAAATTTTTGCTTCAGCGGAGCACTCATTACCGCGTTATTCGACGAAAAAGTCACTGACTGTCCTGCACATTTATAGAAGCATTTAACATTTTAGCATTTCAGACAACGTATGCAGGCAAGCACAATGGCACATTTCTGCAATCAAAAAGCCATAAAGTTATTGGAAAAATACATAAATTCCCGTGACCTATTAATCACGTTCAGTCAGTGGAGCGCCAGATTTAGCTGGAAGCAGATGAATTGTGCTGAAAAGCAATGAACTGGATGAAGCAGTGTAAAATAAAGGCGCTAGGACAGCAACAGACGTAGTGAAAAAATCCTAAATGGCTGAAACTGTAAAGTTCATTTATTTTCTGCTCCAAATTTCTCGAAAAAAGCTTTAATTTCTGACCCAAAAAAAGTTCATAAACTCACCCAAAAAGGCTTCTTTCCGAGTTTGTCTTCAAAAAAGCAAATGTGTTAGACAGGCTTAAGTTTAAGCTATTAATGCAGTTCATAGGATAAATTTCTGGTATTCGTCAAAACAGTTTACTTGCGCAACATCTCGCAACACTTTCTAATCCACCTATTTGAACGTACCCGAATAAGATTCTGTATAGGAAACTGTTTGCATCTGCCATCGTAGCTCTTCCAGCTGACTTACTAGATTCCTAACGTAGGCCTGTAAAAATCCAGTTCTTAATCGATATTTGCTTTTTTCGTTGATTCATATTTAGCAGAACTAACAACATTCAGTATTAAGATAAGGATAATTAAAACTCATATAAATAATCTTCCAGTCTTAACTGCTTCTGAACATGCTGAATTAATTAAATGTCTGTGTTCTCAATGATAGCCCATTCAGTAGCGTGTATTCAGTATCGACGTTTAAAAAATTTTTTTGCAAAAAATATGCGAAAGATAGAGGATCATCCAAAGCGTTTTCCAAAAATTGGTTAATTCACCACCTTCCAATCAATAAGAGAGAAAAGTAGTATGACAGTGCAAAACAGCCCAGAAAATCGAATGAAAAACACTAGTCCGAAAACGGTTCAGTGTTTCTACCTTATAACTGATATGCCTGAAACAGCTATTAATTTACAGTGTGGATCTTAGCCTCACCTATTCAGCTAGTAAATTTTTCAACGACTGCGATATTGTACTTTGCAAATCCACATATCTGAACATGCATCGATTTAATGGGATCAGCTTAGTTTCTCAGTCTCTTTTCATTCGCTCGAGGTATCCACACTGTGGATCCATAAAGCATTAGGATGACGGCAGTGAAACATTCTGCTTTTATACGAGATGGTGTTTGCTCGTTTGAGCGTATTTTGAAAGCGCTTCATGTATGTTACCTTGCTTCTCTTGTTTGGCTTATTTACGGACAAGTAGCCATTCATTTTTATCGCTTATCCCAAGTAAATATATGTGCCTAGATGTTCAATTTTTTGGTCTTTCAGCTTTATGCCGAACTGCAGTTAGTAGTCATTCTTCATTTACTTGCTTGTTCCATTATAAATTCAAGGCACCACTGATGTTCGAGCAAATCTTGCACTGTTTTAGGGTTTTGCGCTATAAAAGTACTTCATTCGTTAAAAGGCTGCGAGATTCTTAGCTCTCTCGGTTTCCTCAACAATCCCCTCGCCACTTACAGGAGGCTGCTCAGGAGCAAGGGCTATCACTCCAATAGTTGTTACGACTAGTGTTGTATCAACGCGCAGTCAGTCTTCTGCCAATCCTGGCTTTCGTTTCATCACTTGAAAAAATTACTAGCTCAACAGCTCACCCAATAGGCTTTAGCTGTTTTGAGATGTCGCTGGTTTGTGTTGAGCATCGCCACCTCATCCCAGTTGTTTTTACTTAAGGGCCAGGAATAATTATCATAAGCATTAGTAGGTCTCTTCCTTATTCTGAATATTATAAGTCAAGACACTACAATTTTTGTCAAAAAAAGTATCTGTATGAGCTGAATTACTCTGTAGTCCAAAAAACTACTATTATGTTGATAATCATTTTAGAATAATATTGACAGGAAGGTAAAGTCTGAAATCCATAATTTGCTACATGTGATACTAAGAAACACTTTTCTTGTACCGTTGTGAAACGCATGTTAAGTTGCTTCTTCCGACCTTCGTTCTTCCAGCTTGCCCTTAGTAGTACCTTGCTTTCATTGTTAGCACAGTGCCCGCTCAGTTTCACTTTTGACGAAGTTAGATCGGGTACCTGAAGATGAGTTCAAATTGCTATAATGAAAGACAGCACACACCATACAACTGATGACTCTAATGCATATTTTAAGCAAGTCTATAGTTAAATTAATTGAATCAACTACGCGGAAGTATTTTTTCCTCTGATTCTCTACTTATCGGTATAATTAATAGCTGCAAATCGAAAGTCGTACTCAAAGACGGTACTCATTAGTACAAAACCAGTATTTGCATAAAGGCAAAATGTAGGAAATTACTCATAATCGACCGTGAAATTGAGAATTTTTGGAGGAAATTAGGTGTTTTGGAATGAAATTAAAACCTTGAGTTCACTGAAATAACGAAATGTCTCTCCAAAATTCGCTTCATTGGTTGAAAAGATCAAGCATGTGTGTATCTGGGCGGGAGCGGAAGGATAAGCGAACAGCTGTGAGTCTCTCTCAGTGCTCCTACTTCACTTTTTTGCATCACTTGAGAATCTTTTCTGCTGACGAAGTCATGGTAATTTTAATGCGTTTTTGCATATGTGCAAATGCAAAAATGCATATTGGTAAGAGACTGTCTGTGTGTGTGTTCCCATTTTTTTGTCACCCACTTTCAATTCGAGAACCAGGAAAGCTAGAAGGCTAAAGCTTCGAAAGTATGTGATTACACCATGTGCGGCCCTCTCTTTTCAATGCACCACCCACTTACGGCTGGGTATCGTGTGCAGACATCTCAAAAAAATACGCAAATTTTTTGGCGGGGAAGCGATCTCGAGAACCAAACAAGATAGAGAGCTGGGATCTTGCAGGGATATTCTTTGTGCATGTATGAGTTGAAAATTTCAAATCCAGCCCCTAGGCGCTCATGGTTCTCATGTACGGGCATGTGAATTTTTGACGGGAAAGTCACTAACTCGGGAATCAAAGGAGCTGGAAAGCTGAAATTTCATTGGAATGTTTCCAAGTACAATTTAAATATTTCAAATTTAGTTTTCAGATATCCGTGGTTCTCAAGTACGGGCACTTAAAAGTTTTGGTGGAAAAAATGCTCACTGAACAGCCAGGTTACTTTCAAAAAATGACCTTTAAAAGAAATTCGTTTTTTTTACGCAAAATTTATGATGATTTACGCACAAGGTAGGTGCAGGGCAACAGCCACCCATGGAGTTAACGAAGTTATTACTTCAAGTCAGGTGCAAAAACATATGTCGCATCAACAAGCCTGGTGCGTTCCAGTGTTTTTCTAAAAAGCATCTGTTAATTTTTTGCTTTCAGTCAAAATACTGGCAAAATTGTTCTATTTTGTCATTAATGCTTTTACTATCAAAATGTTTTAAGCAATATTTACATGCACTTGCACTGTACAACTAAAAAAGCATTATCGTTTTGTGTGTGCATGTGCCTGTGCATTTGCTCCAGGACAGATCAATTTCAAAACTTAGAAAGCTAGCGAAACGAAATTTTTGAAACATATTCCTCATGCCTACGAACCACATCCATTTTCCTCTCTGTGAGCTGACTCGTTAATTAAGACATGAGTTGGGGCTGATCGATACAAAATGGGAATTTTGAAAAATATGAAAATTATTGAAAACAATAGTTTCAAATAAATTTATGTGTTAATCTGTAATCTCAGCCGTTTAGTTGTATTACTTCAGAAAAAGCTAAAAGCTCGAAATTGTAATATTATTGTTGCTCTTTTGAGACGTTGCTGCTTATTGATTTATAATCACGCATTAAATGCAAGCCAGGCAAAAATTTCAGAAATCAGGCTATGAATTCAAAGGTTTGGTTTTATACATGCGCTAAATCAAGTTCTGTATTGCCTCAAACTAGTCACCTGCAGCATTTTGCATCAAAACACAACAGCCGTCTCAGTTTTCTGCGCGTCTCTTTATTTATAGGCTATTTTTCGCAAAAAAAAGCACTAAAAATGCCTTCAAAAAATTCTGGCTGTATCACTGAGCGCGAGATGAGTTCCTGGATTTAATTAAGAAATAATTCGGCCAAAAATAAATGTACTTTGGTTGCAACGTTCGTCCCATTTAAATTTAAATTGTATATTTGAGCCGAAAACTTCAGCAACAAACAAGGCATGCCGTGCTGATCTTTCAAGCCAAATTCACCATCTTCAGCATTCTGTAACGCGAACTGGTCGCAGTGTACGATAAGCAAAAAACCTAAAATATTTTTTCCAACTTGAACCGGTTTTTCGCGGCGAAAACGTAAAGTAAATAAACTATGTCTTGGCAATGACTTCTACGAAACAATTCTTTTTTGTCATGTATTTTTTATTAGGCGACAATCCTTTTTTGCATTCCATTTGTAGGTGGAAAGTTGTAGGAATTTGTCTAACATGCTACTACTTCCCCCCCC